CAACACCTTCTGGAAGTCTTGAAAGTATAACTTTTAGCTTTAGGTAAGTGTCCCAGGGCGACAAAGTTCTGTGTCACTCAGCCCCTAGCTGAAAGGTTACTGGTTTGACCCCATTCAGAGGTATCCTGGAAGGCAGGTCTTGGAAAGGTCCCGTCCTTGAAAACCCAATGGAGCTACTTTTCTCTACGCATGTGGGGTCCTCATGAGTCTAAATTGATTCAACAGTGTAAAATCCCTACAAGTTTAGCTCTAAGATCCATTTAAATTTAATTTTTGCATAAGATGGGGCGAGGGGCCAAGGAAGCGAGTGTGTGCAGGTTACAAAGTGAGGTGTGTGTGTGTGTGTGTGTGTGTGTGTGTGTGTACGCGCGTGCGCGTGGGTACAACAATGCAAGTGTAAGGATGAGTGGCCAAGCTGGGAAGGAGAGGACAGTGCAGACACGATGGGTGGGGGTGGAGGAGAGGTGAGTGTGTGACTTATTTGTGACGATGTGGGGAAGCAGTGCAGGAAAAGGAGAGCGACAGAGTTGTGTGGAGTGTGGACAGGGCAGTAAAGCGTGAGGGGAGAGGTGGGAGTGTACAGTAATGAGCCTGTAAGACAAGCCTGGGGAGGGAAGAGAGACAGTGCCGTCAAGTGGACAGCAAGCGGGGAGAGTGGGTGTGTTTCGTGGGCAAGGAGGCAAAGTGTAATGTTTGTATGTTTGTGAAAAGACGAGATCGGCTTCTGAGTGTGTGCGCTTCTTAGGAGGAGAAGAAGAATGTGACTGTGTGCATTTGTGTGCGAGAGAAGAGGGCGTGTGTGTGTGTGTGTGGGGGGGGAGTGCGTGTGTGCGTGCGCTCCCACTCAACAAAGCAGAGGGTGGCAAATGGAGAGTGCAATTTGAAAAGTAAAACTGACTGCGAAACTGAGAGGAATTGACTAAATGAAAACAAGAAATAGTCCCAAACACTAAAAAAAAAAAAGATGGGAGGTATGAGTCTAATTTCATTATTAGTATTATTTTACAAATTGTTCGTGCATCCAGCAGAAATAAGGATGGACTGTGGGAGATGAAGAAAAAGAAAAGTTTTTCAAAGGATAGGAAGAAGAGAACATAGTGTTGAGTGAAAGTATTTTAAACACCTTTTTTTAAATTTTTTTTATTGTATTATTTTTACATGTACCGTCAAATCAGATCTGACTGGTACAGGAGGAGATTGCTCCCTCCTTCTCCAGCAGAGCATCTGGTGGAATTGAACCGCGTACCTCGGGGATTACAGTGCAGCATCTTGCCACTAGGCCACCAGAGCACCCTGAGTGAAAGTATTTTAAACAATCAATCTTGTTAACATTGGGAAAAGGAGAAGGAAACCCAATATTTTGACAGAGACAGTATTTTCTGTCTTGTTTTAAATTAGTAAGGAATCATGTATATTAAAGTAAAGGTAAAAAAAGGGCAAGGTAGAACAACAAATAATATAAAATAGACTAGATATAAAACAAAATCAAATATATGAGATTTATACTATATTTAAATGACTGATCTTTCTGGTGAAAAGACAGAGATTTAAAACAAACCAGAATGATTCAGTCTATGAGGTTGGGTATACAATTTAAAAATTTCAAATAATAAAAAATACACGAGATATTGACAGATCACCAAAGACAGACATTATGAATTTATAAAATGCAAAACTATAATAAACCTAAATCTGTGTCCATAAAACAACACAGTAGCCTAACATATTAAATAAGAGTGGCCAATGACTTGGAAATTATTGGATGAAGTTTCTAGAAAAACTCTTTAAAATGAACTCAGCAGAAGTATTCCCCCTCCCCTCGCAGTTTATTTTACTCCTTTTTTTTCCTGGAAAGATAGATAAGACAATTGAAACAGCTCCTAGTCTTGTGGCTATTGAAGCAATTGGAAATCAACCCATCTCCCTACAGTCAACTGATATTTGACAAGGAAGCAAATCCATTAAATGAGGAAAGGACAGTCTCTTGCTAACCATTTGTTAAAATGACGCTGGCAAAAACTGGATATCAACCAGGTGAAAATACAAACAGGATCTGCATCTTACCCTATACACAAAAACCAGCTCAAAGGGCATCAGAGGTCTAAGTGTAAAACCCCAAATTATAAGAATCATATGAAACAAAATGGTAACAAATTGATAAGTCCTAGTCTATGGCATCGATTTGCAAACAAAGCCAAAAATTCATAATCAGGAGAGGATAAGAGGACTTTTTTTATATTGGCTTGCATACAAACTGTGTATTGTGTTTGTATTTCACACTTTCCTTCATTCACATTGTGTTTCATACTATATTCCCATACATTGCATTATATAAAGCCAGTCACCATTGATCTATGCCCACTATCACCCTATCTTTTCAAATTCCCATTGGATCTTTCCTAATCCCATCATCTCCTCCTTGAGCCTAACAAACTTTGCCATCCTGTGATTTCCCATCCTCCCTCTCTCAGGTTCTCTTGGCCCCGCCCCTTCACCCTTTGAACTTCTATGCACATCTTACTGGTAGTTATCCTTCTATTTTTACAGTACTGGTCTTACACAATACTTGTCCTTAAGAGACCGAGTTAGTTCACTTAGCATAATGCTGTCTAGCCTGTACTATGTTACATAGTATTTTTTTTTATTATTTTGTGTGCGTGTACCATCAAATCAGATCTGACTGGTACAGGAGGATATTGCGCCTCCTTCTCCGGCAGAGCATCTGGTGGATTTGAACCGTGTTCCTCTGGGATTGCAGTGCAGCTTCTTGCCACTAGGCCACCAGAGCTCCCCACATAGTATTTTTTTAAACAATCTTTGCTTCTGAGTGCTGTATAGTATTCCACCATGTGAATGTACCACAATTTCTCAATCCATTTGTTTGTTGATGCACATTTGGGTTATTTCCATTTTCTTGATACTGTGACTAACACTGCTATGAACATCAGTGTACAAATCTCTGTGTCTCAGTTCAATTTTCCTCAGGATATGTTCCTCACAGTGGAATAGCTGAGTCATATGGAATTTCTATGCTTGGCTTTTTGAGGACAGGCCAAACTGCCTTCCAGAGTGGTTGTACCACTTTATAATCCAACCAACAGTATCTGAGAGTTCCAATCTCTCCACATCCTCTCCAACATTTATTGCTTGCTGTCCTGTTAAACTTTGCCACAGTTACTGGGGTGAGATGGTATCTCATTGTGGTTTGGACTTGCATCTCTCTTATTACCAGTGTTTGAGCATTTCTGTTGGCCATCTGAATGTCCTCTTTTGTGAGAAGTCTTTTGCCCATTTTGTAATTGGGTTATCAGTCTTTTTCTTGTGGAGACCCTGGAGTATTCTGTAAACATTTATTGTGAGACCCTTGTGTGAGATGGTTAAATGCTCAGTTGCTAACTATTTCAGAGGTTTGAACTCACCAGCTGCCTCTCAAGAGAAAGATGTGTTGGTCTGCTTCTGTCAAGATTATAGCCTTGAAAATGCTCAGGGCACTTCTACTCTGTCCTATAGGGTCACTAGAAACACTTTATAAGACAGATTAGTAGAAACAAAATGAACACAGCACAAATTGACAAGATTAGTCAGCAGGAAAGAGATGTAAAATATAATATATAGTGATAAAATTATAGACCAATATTACATACAGATCTGTGGTGGTGGTTGTGGTTATGTGCCATTGAGTTGGACCAACTCATAGCTGACCCTTCAATGGGCTTTCAGAGGCAGTAAGTAACCTGGGAGGAGATTGCCCATTCTTCTCCCATGAAGAAGCTGGGGCTCAAACTGCCTGTATTTAGATTGGCAGTATCTTGAAGTTGGCCTGGCTTAGTAGGCCCCCAGAGCTCTCCCTAGATCTATGATACCAGATTTGAAAACCTACAGATATGAATGGTTTTCTTTTAGTATATGATAGTCAGAATCCCAGTGAACGGAAAAGTTGAGAATTGGAACACTACTCGAGTCTGTTTTTCTAAAGATCGCAGCCTTGGACACCCTCTGGGATAGTTCTTCCTTATCTTGCAGGATCTTGAGTTGAAATGGATGTTGCAGAACTGAAAACTTGGAAAAGATCAAGTTCATCGAACAGATTAGAAAAAAGTGATTTAGGATCAAAACAAACCTACCAAGGAATGTTGAATAAACTCTTACAAATAGCCTCTCAAATGCCCATCTGAGTCCAAAATAAAATAAGAGAACTAACTAGGAAACAATCCAAGGGGAGCTGAAAACCAGAGACACCTCCGCCTCCTCCTACCCTCTATACACATAAAGCTGGGGCACTCGAAAAGACAAGTGGGCTAGGAAAAAGATTACCTTCGAGGGAGAATAAAAAGCGTAACTGCTGTAGCAAAGGGCTCTGAGTGTTTCATCCACCTGTACACTCAAACTCCTTCTCAAGCTTTCCTCCAGGGGTGACTATTAGCCGGAATACTGTGTTGTGTCGTGTTTCCCCCAAATTCCTTCTTGTTTCGGAACTTAAAAAAATGGCAGACTGAAGTAATCTGGTGATGTTTTTCCCATTCAACACTATTTATAAGATTCATCCATGTTGCTTGTAGTTTTTTTTGGGGTCTGCGTGTACTGTAGAGTTGGAATTGACCCATAGCTGAGCCTTCAGCAGGTTTTCAGAGGCAGTTAACTGCACATAGCATTCTGCTGCCTGAATAAATCACTATTTGTTTATATTTTAAATTTTTTTTTATCAAACCTAACATTTAATGAGAACAAAAGAAACAAGTTGGTAAGAGGCCCAACTACATCACATCCAATCTCAGCTGAGGATGGGGGACAGAGGGTGGCCAGCCCGGAAGTCATACCCCAGGGAGGAACCAGCTCTGAGGCAGGGGCTGTCAGACCTCCAGGGCCTGGCTGGGGTTTCCGGCAGAGGAATGTGTCAAGGGAAAAGACGGCAGTGGGTCATGAGCAGCAGGTAGGACAGGCAGGTGGCCACCGGGGGGTGGGGGGGTGGACGGGACACACACAGAGGGCATGGTCGATTCTCAGGGGTTGACAGGGGCTAGGGAGCCAAGCTCAGGCAGCAGCTCAGGGTGGGGGTCCAAGCGGGCCAGGCGGCTCTGCTCCAGGGCGATGGCCTCAGCTGAGTGCTTGCACTTCTCAGAGCCACACTGGCAGGTGAAATATTTGCTTTTGATATCCCAGAAGCGGTCACTATAGTCAAACCCTAGCTCCTCCCTGGTCCGGATGTCTCGAGAACTGAAGAAGGCAATGCGTGGAAACCGCAGATCTTGGTGCAGCATGAAAACCCGGACAGGGATGATGTTGGGGTCGCAAAGGTGGTTGATGAAGCGGCTGATGTTCCCGTAGTAACGGGCATCGATGCCCTCTCCATCCTTGTTGTCCAAATCGAAGAGGTAAGAATCATCCTCTCTCACATCGGCCTCAGCATCAGAGATCAGCTCCCCCACATACTCGCAGATGAAGGTCCCCTGGGGAATGGTCTGCAGGGCGCAGACCCCCCAGCCCATCTTGGCTGTCCTGTAGAGCTGCAGTCGTACCTTGATGCCGCTCTGCACCACCCGGTTCTTGCAGTTCCTCCAGCAGGAGCATGCCTGGTTACACTCAAAAATCAGGGGAGGTTCAATTTTGTTAAACTCCTGGAGCAGCCGTCCGTCCTTGTCGTACCAGCACCGGATATATTTTAATTGTTGTTGGACATTGAAAATATTTAGTGTTCTCTGACTTCTTAAATTGGATCTCCATGAGTCAGAACAAATTTGACAGCAACTCCAAAACAGCAATGAGTATAAAATAAGATCAAATTGTGGTATACGTAGTATTTTTAAGATTATTGAGGAAGTTGAGGTTGAATATATTTTCATGTTTTATGTTCCATTCATTCTGTTTCCTCTGTCAAGTGTCTGTTCCAGTGTTTTGTCCATGTTTTTACTGGATTATTTGCCTTATTAGTTTGTGGCATTTAAAAAGCATATTCTGAAAGGACTCATTGGTTGAGTAATGAGTTACAAAGGTCGGTCGTTCAAATCTACCAGCTGATCTGAGGGTGAAAGGTGAGGCAGCTGCCTCCCATAAAGATTTACAGCCTCAGAAACCTGACAGGAACACCTTTGATTGGAACTGACCCCAAAGCAGGGGATTTATTTGAGGAGTGGGTGGGTGGGGGCATAGTCTTATCTAGTCTAGATATTAATTGTTGTTGACTCTATGTGTTGCAAATGTCTTCTTAGTATAAGACTTATCTTTTTACTTTGTTTTTAGCCTTTTGAAGGAAAAACCTTGCCAATTTTAATGAAGGTGAATTTTCATTCTTCTCTTTTATTGTCATTGTTTTATGTGCCATGTTTAAGGAGTATTTTCTTATGTTGGGTTTATAACATTATTCTCCTATGTGAACTGCTCAAAATTTTTAGTTTATGTTTTTCCAAAGCCTTAATACAACAGGAATTGATATTTTCTGCATGGCATGTGGTAGAATATTCAATGATCCCAGCACCATTTACTGAATAATCCGGTCTGTCCCTTGTGCAGTATCACGTCTGTCAGAAATCATTGCTATATATGCAAGGATCTGTTTCTCCACTCTCTATTCTCTTCCATTTCCCCACTGTTTATCCTTGTATTAACAGTTTTGCTTTATAATATCTTTTTTCTAACTGTAGTAAATATGTATGTAACAAAAAGATTTGCCATTTCAACATATGTACATGTCCAATTCAGTGACATTAATTATGTTCATCATGCTATTCAACTATCGTTACTATGTGTTTCCAAATTTCCCCACCAATCTTAAATGAAGCTTAATGTTTTCTAAACACAGAGCCCTTTTATGGCCTCCCTTCCTCCTGCCTCTACTAATCATCTACATGATTTGATCTCTCTACAGTTGCCTGTGGTAGCATAGACCATCGGGAGTTGTGTTGTTAACCCAGCGACCATATCTCTCTGTGGTTATGTTTTACACTAAAACATTCTGTACCATTATTGTTGTAGGGAGTGGGAGTATCTAACCGGCCAACAGAGTAAACCCCAAAACTCCCCCAGGTTACAATTGACAGAGAGATTTACATAAAGTTACACTGCTGAGGTTCCATTTACATCAAGGTGCTAGAGAAAAGGGAGTGTCTGTATGTTTGGGTTCTCAGCTTCTTACATAAGAGACCTTGTCCCATATGTTTTCATGGGATTTTAACAAACCCAGTTATTAAGAAATGTATTTGCCCTGTTTTATTTTCTTTGAATAAATGACATGGCATTTCTTAGAAGGAAGGGAAAAAAAGACACCTTGTGATAAGAGTGGCAGCCTTGGCGAGCTCTGGTGGCCTAGTGGCAGGAAACTGCACTGCAATCCCAGAGGTGCGTGGTTCAAATCCACCAGATGCTCTGCTGAAGAAAGAGGAACAATCACCTCCTGTACCAGTCAGATCCAATTTGACGGTACACACATAAAAAGAATAAATAAATAAATAAAAATTTAGAGTGGCAGCCTCATGTCCTCATATTGTCTACGACCTGGGTTTTCACATAACATAGAAAGGGGAAATGCACAATGGGTGTTAGAGAAGAGGATAAAGAGGACGAAACTCAGAGCCATCTAGCCCAGGTTGATAGACATGTAAATGAAGCTGACCTGCAGAAGAAATATAGGCATTTACAGCCTCCCAAAAACCTGTTATGATTCAGTTCCCACTCTACAGTGATTAATGAGTTTGAGATACACTTGCTTATTCTAGATAATACATGTATGTGTGGTCATAGCAACTTTAAAATAAACTTTACAGTAAAAATATATGTAACAAAATATTTGTCATTCCAATTTTTAATGAGTATAATTCCGTGACAATAATGACATTATTGTGATATGAAGCCATCATCAGCACTTATTTCCAAACTTTTAACAGTAACAGTATTACCCTTACTAATTTACTGTTAATCTCTTTTTGTAACTTAGTCACCCTTTACAGTAACTCAGTGCCCCTAAAGCAATTACCTTTGACATCTGATAAAGCAAATCTTTGATAATCTTAAAAATATAAAATTGAAGATTCTTTCATAATTCTTGTTGAATTTTCAGTCAAAATTACAGGAATTATGTATTTTTCAATCGTGAACAGAGATCTCTTTCCATTTTTAAGCTTTTATCTAATGTCTCAAGAAATTCCCAGTAACAGTAGCAGAACATTAAACTAAGTGCAGGACCTTTCTAAGCGTGGGGCACTGCACTGGCCATCTTCCTCGTCTTCATCCCACCTTTTTATGTTGTGTGGCTTCTGTTCACATTTACATTGTCCATGAGAGATTATCAAAAGTTGATAGAAATAGAAAGCTTTAAATATTGCATTTAAAAATCTCCAGGGTAACCAGTGGAGAACTAAAAATAGCATAAAGATCAAAAATCAAGAAGAGACGAGCAGGCCAGAGGGATGGTGGAAATGAAGCTTCGCTCTTTCATATCAGGGCATCTGCTGCTACAAATTGAGAAACAGAGGTAGAAGCCTAATGTTCAGATTCCAGAAAACTGAAAAGAGAAATTGTTAAAATGGATTGCTTTTCAGGGGTGCGTGCAAGAGTTGGGGAAAGTTGCAGAGGGAAGGAGCCTGTGGCCTTTGTCAGGGTTCTGTACTCTTTTGTTCATTACCATTTACATCCATTAAGCTGACAGAAATAAAAATAAAGACATGGAAAGCTGCTTCTTATTATGTGTTGTGATAAGCCAATACACATGCATTACCATAATTCACTCTTAGCTGATTGTGGACAGAGTCAACATGATTGCTTTTTGAATAAAAAAATACAATTATTGCCATAGATACAAGTATGTAATGATTAATTAGACCCAGATGGCTTCTAATTCTCATGAGTCAGAGATTTATTACCACAAAACTTTCTTATATTTTATTTTCTTAAAAATAGGTGTTTGTCAAATAGAATGAGATTTTCTTTTATTCTTTGGCAGGCATTTCCAACTTTTGCATTAAATAAACTTGATTCTCTGTCAGATAGGTTGAACTAAGGCTTTTATTTTTTTTAAAAGATAGTCTATTTCCAGGAGGCATTTTAAAACCAGGCTTCTGAGCCCTGGCAGGGGAGAGGGGTAGTTAAGATTGTGGGTGAGATTGTTGGCAGCTCAGGTCCTGGCTCCCCTCCTCGTCACCAGGACCTCGTCACTCCTGGTCCTAGGAAAGCTACTCAACAACTCTAAGCCTCTGTTTCCTTAACATATATAGTTTTGTGTCCATTAAATGAGATGAAGTATATTAAAGCACTTAAGAAGCACGTGAGACGTAAGGCCTATAGATTATAGGGAATTTGTGTTATCGTAACTTTTTTTATACCTAAGAAAAGGTAACCGAAGCAATGCTGTTGTTGATTGCCGTAGAGTAGAGCATAACTCAGCAACCCTATGAACAAAAGGCCTGAAGCCATTCTATAACTATCATCATTTCTCAAAGTTCATAGTTTCCAGAGGCATGTTGTTTAGGAAGTGGGTGACACTCCTGCTTCTGAAGCCATAATTCCATGTATTTTAACTTCTTTGATAGTCAATTTCTATACATCATCACTCACTACTTAAAAATATTATTTGGGTTTTTTACTTTCCTGAAAATGCTTGTTGGCTCTTTCCCTCCAATATTTTCTTGTTTCCAGGTGAAACGTTACACAATTATGTTCCCATTTAACAATTTTTTTACAAATTGTTCTGTGACGACAGTTACAATGCTCGCCATGTCTCAGCTTTCTCATTATTTCCATTCTGTTTCCATTCCTCTAGTTCTCGTCCCTCTTTGCCTTCTTTGCTATTAGCTGGCCATATCCAGCCAATCTTTTAAGGCACGCATTACTTACTGGTGATATTGTTTCTTGCATAATCCTTTCCATTGTTTGACTGAAACCTTGAGGCTCCAGTAGTGGCTTCAGTTTTAGATTAAAAGGACAATAATCTCAGGGGTTCCTTGAGTCTCTCTCAGTCCAATAAGTCTGATTAAAGAGAAGAAGAAGAAGACTTTCCACCAGATAGACTGACACAATGACATTAGCATTGGGAATGTTGGAGGTCATGCTGATGACTCAGGATAGGGCAAGCTTCACATTTGCTGTTCTTAGGGTCACTATAAGTTAGAGTAGACTGAACAGAACAGCAACAGAAACAGCAACAGTTTCTGCTGACAGAAACAGCAACGACCATTTATTTTTGCTCTGATCATTATTTAGAGATCATTCTTTAGAGAGCCCTGCTAGCTTAGTGGCAAGGAGTTGTGTTGTCAACCCAAAGGCACGTGGTTAAAATCCACCGGCTGCTCCATGGGAAAAAGGTGGACAATCTCCTTTTATGTGATTTACTGCCTTTGAAAACCAGATGGAGAGTCAGCTGTGAGTCATTTCCAACTCATTGTTACATAACAACAAGGACCTCTGCAGTTTATTTCCTTACTGTTCAAGTTGTAGTCTTTTGGCTCTGGCTGTGGTATGTACATTTGTTACTATAAATTCTCCTCAGAGTACTGCTTTTGCGGTATCCCAAAAATCTTGACATGTTTCATTTTTATTTAATGCTTTGAAATTTTAAATATAATTTTTCATTTATTCTACTACCCAATAGTTTTAAAATAAAGAGCTATTCCATTTCCATATATTTACTCTCCCTCCTTATTCCTTCTATTATTAATTTCCAGTTTTATACCACTATGATTGGAAGAGACACTTTATAGTACTTAAAAGCTTTCCAATTTGTTGCATCT